GCGCACGATTTCCCATTCGCCAGCCCAGTCTCTTTCATTAGAGTTTAAGGGAGAATCGTTTCTCCTGCAGACGGGATGCAGTTCGGCGCATTAATGCAGCGGACGCGTTGTCATCGTCACCCAGTATATGTCTCGCGAAGGAAGTGAGTAACAAGAAGAACCGGTCGACTGGCACATAACCGCTTCGTATCCGTCATTTTTCCTTAGCTGATATACCTGCTCCTCCCCTCCCAGTATCTCTCTTTCTCTCTCTCTCTTTTTCTCTCCCTTTCTCTCTCTCTCTTTCTTTCTCTCTTTGTCTCGCGTCTTTACTTGCCTGTTCTGACTTTCCTTCGCTGATCACCGCGTGAATGTCACGTTGGCATTTTGCAACAAGTCACTAATAACCCGAGGTTACTACTGCCTTAATAATTCCCCCATTCTGCGGGAGAGAAAGACGATGAAGAGATATATTTCTGCGACATATATTCAACCGCTCTGTGCACGAGGAACCATCGTTAATCTTACAAAGGGAAATAAAATATTATCTTTTGATGTGCGTGTACGAAGACCTATTGTCACGAGATAATGGATTCTTCGAAAATTCCAATATCCAGTTTTATCGAAATAATCCACTAGAGATAACTAATATTATAATATCCAATTGTGTTTGCTGAGTATAATCTAACGATGTACCAATAAGGTGTAAGTTCATTAGATAAGCGTCAAATCTACTTTAATTTCAAGCTTTCAAACATACTTTGAATTTTAATAAGTTCAATATTTCACAATGAAGAATATTAAATTAAAAGAAAAATTCGGTTTTTTTACCACATAGAGTCGAATCAACTTTTTCTTCCATAAAGTTTTATAATCTTGTCAAGAGAATAAATCCTTCCTTCGAGTACGTGATAATAAGCTCAAATTTGGATTAAGTATATTCTGAGACAACACGAGACATCCTGAATGTATGCAAGACGTCCTGGGAGTGGTTTAAGATCCTGAGTACATCCAGTATAATTTCAGAATGTTTCGTATTATTTTATAAGACTATTATCAAGAAAATATATAAGCTAATAATTGAAAATAACCATTATTTAAAAAAAAACTGATATATTTCTATTTAGAACCATGGAAATCAGATAAGACTCCATAAGAAGAAACGATACCTCAATCGAAAATATCACGATCGAAAATATTTGTCTGAACATTTAAGCTTGACCTACAATGTGCTTCTTGCTTCTCGTTTCTTTCTCTTTATCTCTTTCTGACTCAAAGCTTAAGTCAGAAAAAGATAGAGATTAAGAAACAGGAAGCAAAAAGCACATTGTAAATCAGGTTCTTTAACCACTTTAAAACTCGACTGAAATAAGAACGATCGACTGAATAGAAATCGCCTGAAGGAATCATTTTGTCCTCGACAATCGACTTCTCGTCCGGTTTTCAGGTAGCAAAAAATCACGAGCCAAGTTTTTCCACCATGAAATACAAACACGCTGTAGTCTACGATCGATAGAAAAATGCAGCACGTGATATCTTATCGAGGTGTCCGGTTATCAAGTCGCGGAGAACGGTACGTTCGCCAGCAAGCGAACGAACGAACGAGCGGCTCGCTCTCGCGTACGCCAGGGGGTAAAAGGCTTTCGGTGTTTTTCAAGCCGACGTGAAACTGGATCGATCTCGCAACTCGGCCAAACGCGCGCCAAGAATCGAAGCGTCCAGAGGGGAAAGAGAAGAAGAAAAAGAAAAAGCACGAGAGACAGGTCGAGGCATGGTGAGGCGTGATTGCGCGATCCGGTTACGTCAAGGCGTATCTGTCTCGCCGAGTTTCCTGGCGCGAATCAACCGACCTGATGGTTGGTCCACATCAGAAACGCCACTTGCCCGCGTCCGATCTCACGGCGTGCGCAGAGGTCACGGAAGTTCGCTGAGGAAACTCGCGGTGTCGCGAATCTCGGCGATTTGCAATTTTCCGCTAAGCGAGCGTGAAAACGAGCAGAAAAAAAAAGAGAGAGAGAGAGAGAGAGAGAGAGAGAGAGAGAGAGAGAGAGAGAGAGATAAACAGAAAGAGAGGGAGAGAGAGTGAAAGAGAGAGAGAGACAAGCTCATGTCATTGCACGCAGGTCCCGTCGTGTCGGCGCCGCGAAGCCGCGCTAGGATATGCAATTAGGATACCACTGTCGTGGTGCGCCGACGGAAGATAGGAAAATGTCGGCGGGAAGCACAGAGAGACACGTAGCTCCCGACAGGTATGATTTGCATTCGCTTCTGGAGCTGGGTTTTGCGGCGATCTGGCACGCATGACTGGCCCGCGCTGGGCACGCGCGTACGCAAAACCGTAATTTCGCCGTGTGTTAATAAAACGCCTGCCGATGGATAATAACCCGGAATATATGTCCGTTCGCCGGTCGATACGGCTCGATATATATTAAAATTGCTAGTAAGAAAACCATAACAACATCGCGAACAGCGTTTGAGAGATCCGCGTAGCGGATAAAGTATATTGAATGCGACACGACACGCTGAGAATGTAGATCACGATTGCATTCGTAACCGGCAATTCTCATAAAGTGCGCGGTTGTTCACCTGATTTGTAACAGAATCTCGATCATAGAGTCGCGAGTATAAAAATGATAATCAACGTTTGCCTGAAAATAAACGGGAACAATGGTCCCATTTAGGGGACTCTAAAAACTGTATGACGATAGCGGAACACACTAGAAAGTATTCGAAAAATCGAGCTTAACTTCTGTTGTGAAAATAACATTGCTCGACATTAGTATAAACGGATATAAACAATTGTTAGCAGCAACTTATGGAGCAATAGCTCTTAATCATAACAAAAAGAAGAAGAGTATATAACAAATTTACGCGAGGACATATCAACCGAGGACCCTTCTCGAAATTATTAATCTAAAAATATTAGATCAATTCTTTTAAGGTATAAGAACCAATATTTGGACACTAATAAGACTGTCATATCGGGAAAAAATACATAAAAAGTTATTTATGAGATATAAAGAGTTTATTTGCAGAAATAAATTTTATACTCCACAAATAAGTTTCGAGGTATTTCTTCTAAGTGTACCTAACCCCGGACGTTCTTATTGTTTAATTTATAAATATGAATGTTCAAACTTTCAATATATAAAATATATGTAGAATATATGTGTACATTCAATATATGTATAAATATTCTCTCTATGTTGAAAGTTTAAATATTCGTATTTAAAGACCAAAACGGTAAATACGGCCGGAATTAGATATCAATGTTATTAGTATCCAGAGGTTATGACACCTTTATCTTACTATTAATAATTCTGATTGTTTTAGAACTGATACTAACGAACTATACCACCATTAGCTGTCACGATTGTGCAACACAGCTGCCGGAACGCTAAAGTGCAACACTAACGTGATTCAAATTGACGTTTCTCGCCAGTCACGATTGATAACAACACACACGCGGTAAAAGTCGAACAATAGATATTTTCCAGACGATTTGTCAACCCCGACGCTTACATAAACACTTTCTCATCGTTGAGGTATCCGCCGCGGGCGGGCGGTGTTTACCTCCTGCGAATCTTCTGGACGTCGCGGTCGAAAGTGGATAGTCAGCGATTATCATCAACGGAAGATATTCACGAATGTGTCGATGGTGTCATGCGTGTTCGCGTGCATACCATAATAACAACGACACTCGTGCAAATTGCGGACAGTGCATACCAATCCGACAGTATTCGCCTTGCGAGCTTCCTCTCTCGCAGTTCGCGTAAGCGAAATGAAGATATCAGAGCCCGCTCTCTCGCGCGCTTACCGTATCTCGTCACGTCGACCTTTATAAGACGCCCTTTTAAGCTCCACGCACGTGAGAGCAACCGCGCGCATAATTTCGATGCACGGGGAATACGATTTTGCATGATGCTTTTCACAATTGCTCGGAGGATCGGTAAAACTCGTGAGAAATGAGAGTTACGCTTTAGCGTTTACCGTATCCCCCGTAATAACACGTTACCGATCGTGTCTTCGACCAGATATCAGGTCGACTTTATAAGTTGCGTGTTGCGTGTGCGCCGCAATTAACTTTATCCGTAATGCATGGGAATTTCCCGATTTTTCCCTTAGTCTTTCATACATGATATGTTAAGAAATCAGCACAATGCCTCTTAAGATTATTCCGGATACGCTCAAGGCGTCTTAGGATATTCCCTAGAACACGCCCTGGATATATCCGGAATAATTGGGAGACGTTCTCATGCTATCTGAAAAACAATCAAGGAATGATTCGATCGCTGAATAGAGTTCAGTGGCACACTGAGAAAAAAACATTTGGAAATTACTTGTGGGATATAAAGTTTAATTTTGCGAAATATAAAGTTTGTTTCTGTGAAATATAATTTATTTTACAGAAACACACAAATGATTTTCAAATATTTTCTTCTTAGTAAATAAAGTTTATTTCCACGAAATAAAATTTATTTCTATTTTTAAAAAATGAACTTTATATCTCGCGCATGCAAATAAATTTTGAAGTATATTTTCTTAATGTAAGTGTGAAAAAGTGATAGCATATGTCGCGTTAAAAAAAATCTTATAGTTGCGAACATATTTGAAGCTATTGAGGTATACTCTTTTGCGCGTATTCTTTTTGTTCGATAAAGCTTCATCTACAATGTGCTCTTTCTGCTTTTTTACTTATTATTTTTTTCTAACTAAAGGTTCAAAGTTAACAGAAAGAGATAAAGAAAAAGAAACAGGAAGTTCGGAAGAAAAAGCATGTTCAAAAAAATTTGAAACGTAGCGAATATCTAACAGGAGAATTTCTCAGGAAAAAAAAATCTCTCACTAGACATCGTTTGCACTAAGAATTACATAAAAAAAGGTGTGTGCTCCATCGCTCTCGGACCGTCCCTTTTAGATCTTTTCAGATCTCTTGGAGGGCGGTGGACGAGAGTCGGCAGGTATGTTCATGCGCTTTGGCGAGCGCGCGCTCTGAGCCAAGGAGACATGTGCGGACTTACCATGGCTGGTGCACGTGTGCGCCTATATGTCACCTAATGCCGCAATTGGACGTCCAGCAGGGACATGTCTACGAAGAGGCAGCCGGCGATGGCAATCGGAGCAGCGGGGCCGACGAGAGGAAAACTTGCGGCTTGAAATCTGCTGTCTCTCGTTCGTTCTCTCTTTCTCGCCGAGTCGTTGCACCCTGCACAGTCAGCACGGATCACCATACGTAAACACACATACACACAAACGCGAAAATGCGCCGACGAGCACGCGTGTGTACGTAAATGCGTGCACTTGTGCACACACGCGGACACAGTACCTCGCGCGCACAGTATCTCCCGGTATCTTTGCCGGATTTCCCGGCTTCACGGCTGACGAGGACTATCCGAAGGATCGCCGCGTGACCACCGACATCGGGTACCGGAGAGTTCGGTGAACCGGCCGGCAGGACACCATCCCCCGGCACAGGAGGTCTTATGCGGGAGAGACCGCGCGTTTGTTCTTACACTGAAATAAAAAGATATGTGGATCGCACGCGAGAACGGCGCGTAGCCGGCTTGTATACAGTTACGCGGCGTAAGAAGGGCAAGAGAAGCGACGGATTTTCAACTTGGCGGACACACCGACTGAGCCCACGACCGGCAGGTAGGTGAGCCGTCGCCCCTCCACCAGGTCGGTGCCGCACCACCACGGCCGCTCACCGTTCTCCATTCTCATTTCCTTCGCTTCACTTGCCCTCACCTCCTTCTCCTTTTCCTTCTTCGACCTCCTTCGCTCCTTTCGTCGTACGAGCGCTTCCCGCGGTTTCCCGCAGAGACGGCTCTACGCGCCGCTCGAACTGGATGATCTCGTGCGTTGTGTGAAAGTGTGCGGCAATAGGTCCTCGCCGTACTCGCCTCTGCGAATATCTTCGTCATATAGAATTCGTAATTTCCGTTCGTTAGCTCCTCGTTAGCTCTTCTCCCGCGTTAATATCTGACTTTATACAAAATATTCGAAATTTATAATCGATCAATAGCGTATTTTTGTAGAATTTTGCTAGGTATAATAGATAACTCTAGATTACAGCGAACATCTTTGCGAACATCTCTATAAAATCCTCGCATTTACATGTACGTCACATTTGAGTCGCGAGGATTCATACGCGCAACACTTCAAACTTTAGATGCATTCACTGAGGATTCTATTAAACGCTCTACGCGTCAAATACAAATTTATACATTTTCTAATGTAAACACATGCTTCTATTATAAAATTCGTTGACACAACAAAAACTAAGAATTTATCTTGAATCACAGTCAATCGTCGCTCGATATTTACAGAAATGTTTACATGTACGAACAAGGTTCGTGTTGACCTTATTAAATCTCACAGCGAAGACTGTGGGCTAATAAAATATCAATAAATGATTTTATCGCGCGCGCACGAAATCCTTACGCGTACAATAAATGCATAAATGATTATTTCGCGATATTTATCGATAGTAAATACATTTGGCTAGGGCACTAGTATCTGCAGTGCCGTCTCTGTCCCCCTTCCTATCATCACACTACCGTGACTTATTAACGTATAAACGGCAGACAATCATTGTCTTCTCAAATTGCGTGATCGGCGTTAACAAGATTATGTTCTGCACAATAACGCATCTTTTGACAAAAGACTATCACGGTCGGACTACGCGGCGCTGCTACCGATAATAATACAGCAATATATAGTTCACGTGAAAGTAATTTAATATAAGCCCAACGTGAAAAGCAGAATCGCGTTTTGAATCGCAACAGCTGTATTAAATTTACAACATTTATTATATCTATATTTAACAAAATTATTATTGCAAATTTAAAAGCATTGCCTTTCTGAAAGAAGACCAATTAATGTACATGAAATTTCAAGATGTTTTTTTTTTGTAAAAATCGTACGTGTCAGCGATAACAGAAAGAAAATAAAGGTTCTTATTATTAACGTGTATATTTAACTAATTCTTATTTCATTGTTGTCTCTATGAGCAATTAATGAGACGCAATGACAGCTTCTGATGTACCATCTTCTGTTTCTTCTTTTTCTTCTTTTGCGACTACAGTATCTTTCGCTAGATATTGTTCAAATTCAACTTTGAACATTTCCGGCAAAGGTGGACTCGCAAGACGAACTCTGTTAAAGTATAATAACTATGTATAATTATGTAACACTTAAGAGTGCGATCGTCACTTTAATACGTATGAATGTCCAGATTACCTTGTAATGAAAGGTCCCGGTCGACGTGGTTTTAGACTATTAATGTCATTGATAATGACAGCGAAATTTTCTTCCAATTTTTGTACATCCATATCAAGCTGAAACACAATGAATTGACTGATGATTATTTTAAGTCGTTTAATTGACGAGATAGATGTAGTTAATACGACATATCTAAGATAGCATGAAGTTACTCGTATGTTTAGAAAAAAACATGACATAAAGAACTTACTGTCCCGAATATAATATCGGCAGTGCCATAAGATTTGAGCAGATCGTGTTGTTTCCCTGTATATCTCACGCCGTCTAAGAATTTCGTTATGACCGCCTTTATATCAGTATCCAAAGTACCTAATAAAATATAAATCATATGATATGCATCACAGATAAAATTCGAAATTCCTATATGTTTTTACTTACCTAATTTAGTGCTAGGAAACTTTCTCTTTAAGATCCCCCTAATTAACAACAAATCAGGCAATAAACTTGGTTCTGATACAATAATATCATACTCTTTCAATGAAACATCTCCTTGCTAGAATAATATAGATTCCATAAACAATGAATTACTGAAAAAATGTAATCTTTACACAATCATATTATGTATGTGTTACATTATAATTATTTTATAAAAACAATAATATTGTCTTATATACCTGAACCTGTTTTATTAAATTTTTCCCACCGTATAAGTGTGCGCCAGAATCTCTCGCAATCTCCTGCATTTCAGGACTTTTGCAAAATGCCACTATTTTTCTCACTTGGCCATGTTCGAATTTGTTTGGTATACACACTATTTGTGTGAAATTATCAACAAATTTCGTTTTTTTCACACCCTAAAGATACACAATTTTATATACGTAACAACGTATACATAACGTGTATATGTAACAAGTAATTCGAATACATATATCTCCTCCTACCTGCATATCCAATTCTACGAATGCTTTTATAAATGCATTTGGTGAGTTATATATAGTGGGATGATGCAGTTCACGATGAGTCTGTACCGCTTCTTCAAATGGATAGATTTTCCATTTATGTTCTTTCATAATCCATATATTATCTACTGGTTCTGTCTGTTGACTATCATCATCTGCAATATCCTTTAAGACCAAGGTCTTCTTTCTTTTAGCTGCACTGTTGGAAATATATAAAATGAAAACGATATGTGTATATAGTAAACTAAAATATGTAAAAGAATATACAGTTATAGGATAAAAGAATATAAGTTATAGGATAAAATATACAATCATAGGATAAAAGATACAATCATATTAATCAGAAATATTATGTACATAAAGTACTTACACTCGTGCTTCTCTCAAGTTATGTGGAATAAAGCCTACTTTCTCAATGACCACTTTGACTTTCTTCTTCCTAGCTTTTTCCCTGGTACCTTTTCTAGCAGCATAATTTCGTGCTTGTAAGAAACCAATTGGGAGGAAATTGTAGCTTGTCACATGCTTGTAGGTTGAGGAAAGACTATTTAATAGCCAGCCTGTAAAAGACAATGTGCCTTCAGATTCTTGAAAGAAAATTTAACATTTTTAGTCTCCAACAGATAACAACTATAATTTGAGAGGTTATGTACATAAAAATCGCTTTTATATGGAAAGACTCTTATTACGGAGATCTTATTGTTATCTATTAGCTAATAAAGTTTAACAAAATTATAAAGCCTCAATGTAATTGTTTTGCCATACATTATTAACAAAATATTAAAAAAATTAAGATAAAATGTATACCTCCAGTAGCTACCGCCATATTTTATCGAGCGAGTCGGAGTCAGTCGGAAAAAGGAATAAACTACGATCTATCGATAACTCGATATTCGATTACGTTTTCTATAAAAGTTTCAATTGTTTTTTCGACGTTTTTAGATAACAAATAAAAGTTCAACGAATTCGTCGAGTCATATTATTTTAAAATAAAATGGTTTCTTGCCTTGCCATTAAATAGTATTCGAAGATACAAGAACGTCTGATCAGGCATTGAGTCATACTACGGCCCCGTTTCGTTTTCGTTCCAGATGGTGGCGCCTCTTAGCGGAGATTTTGGAACTAATTATAAAGTGCCGAATTCGAATTCATATTCATAACTAGTTTTGCGCGATTCACTAAATAGGACGAGCTGGTAGTTAGTTGTATACACTTTTGTATACACTGATATATTAAGAAGAAAGTTCTGTTCAACGGGTCTAAACAATTAATTGTTATTCCAAAGGATAATTCAGAACCGCTACAAACTGCCGTCCTTTCTACTAATGAATCGAGGTTATAGTTCTACTAAACGGCAAGTCAGAAGTACTCTATATTTTCAAGTAATATCACAATAAATAAGACAGACTTTTATTTAAAATGATATAATCTAACTAAAATTAAGAAAATCGTTTTGCCTTTACATATACGTTTCAACGTATTACAAACATTCATTTCTTATATTTGAACGACGATTAAACTTGTATGTTTTTAAAAATAAAAGTCCATCTGACCGTGTAACGAACTGAATGAAAGAAAATTAGTATTTTTTAATTAATTGAATTTGGATAAGACGTTAAATATAAATTCATATAATAAATGTCTTTTGTAAATTAAAAGAATCTTCCCAGACAGCACGAATGTCCAAAATCGAGTCATAAGACGTCTTTAGGACGTCTTTAAGACATTTTTAAGACAATTATAAACTTTATAATCTTATAAACTTGTCTTAAAGATGTCTTATAATTATACTTGTTTTTGGACATTGTGCTGTCTGGGTTAGAATAAAAGTTCTGCGAATTGCGTAGATTTCAAATACTTTAGCGATACTATGTATCTGCCTGTTTCCTCTATTTTTATCTCTGTCTCAATTCTACAGCAATGAAACGTGAAAACGTTTATGAATATTAATTTCAGCACGCTGTTAAATAAGTGATTCTACGAACCTCGGAGATTGTTCGTCTCAGCATTAATATTTATGCTACAAAAAGGAGAAAAATAGTTTCAGCAAGACTTTCACTTGCCAACACGGCGAACGCTGCTTCTGCATGTCGAGGTAAGACGTTACAGGACACCGACACGCATAATTTGTCGCGGGACCATCATCCCGTCGTCCTCTTCTCTTCTCTTCTGCTCGGTGAAGGGTGCCGCGTACGGCACCGGCAGGTCATTAATCGCCGACCGACTCTCGAGCGATGCACATTCGTGCGTGCAGCACGCGTCTCTCGAAGGCCCTCGTATCCCGCGTTAACGGTTGTTCCTTAATGCGACACGGGGAAGGAGAACCGCGTTGAGGGGAGTCCCGTCGTTTCTTCGAGTACGGAAGACACGTCCATTAAAAATCGTCCGGAAGGGTACCGCTTCCGGGCAACTGTCGTTCAGGGTGTTATACACTCGAAAGTGTGCTGTTTAGGACAAGGAGAGATCGACAGACGTACAATTTCTTTGTTGAAGTGAATCAGTTCTGAGGAAGAACTTCTAAAAGTCTTTTGGTTTGAAGAGATAAAGACTGTACGACAACACAAAGAGGTTTCTGAGGTTACCGGGGATTAAGATCCGATTCGACGCGCAGGTAAGCCTGAAAATAACATGCTTTGCTATCGCGTTGTCTTTTACGTCCTTTTAGTCTCTTTAAACTCGTCCTTCCACATTCTTTGCGGCCGGAGTATTTTTGTGACTTAAAATAACCGCGGTCCTCGACAGGGTATCCTTTTCAAATTTCCGATGTCCCGTCAAAATATTTGTAATTGAGGTAAAAGTGTCAATACTCGGGCACGTGTCTAATCTTGAACATTGTTCCGGTTTTATAAACACGAGTATCCAAACTTTCAACATAAAAAAGAATATATATACATTTATTCTATGTTGAAAGTTCATATATTTATAAAGACCTAAACAAGAATATCCAAGATTAGGTACGTGTCCGAAAATTGACATATTTATCTTTTACAAAAGATAATTTTTTTCTGAACTTTCTTTTCCGCAAAATAATCTGTCGGACCTTTTTTTCTTGTGACTTGTAACAGTATATATGTGAGTGGATACAGAGCTATTTAATAAAAAAATGTTAGTAATACTTACATAATTACAAAATAACTGTTGAATCGCCAAAAATATGTATTTTAAAATTTGAAATTATATAAATCAATACAAAAAATGTATATACACGTGCTATTAAAGTTTAACTGTGTGGTCACTCGACCGTATGTAGAACCTTATTTCAACTGAGAAATTTAACTAAAACCTGTTTTAAAACACGACACGGTTGGTTGGATCTTGGTAGTCGATTTGATAAGATTCAAGTTTTTGATAAATTTCACTTCTTGGTTAACTTTAATTAAAATATCCATGTAGCCTTAACGAATGATAATTCAGAACTAAAATTCATGTAAATTAATTGCTTATAAAAATATGTAAGAAATTGTACTACGATATTTAGATATAACGCTCTTAGAAATTCATTGAGGATGTCTGTCGGTTATTTGAAGATTCCTTTGAAATGTGCGTATTCTCTCGAGAAGTAAATTTCTGCAACGGTAAAATATAATATTCATGGTTCAATTTCCATCTAAATAAAATTCATCATGATTTCTGTTCGCGGTTACTACTCACGCTCCTCTATATTTACGTTCCACTGAGAACACACTGCTTTCGCAATCGAGTCAGAACAGTCAACAGTTATCTCTGAACATGAAATCGAGAAGACATAGAAACATCAAGTATCGGACTCTATCGATACGTTATCTTCACGACGTTAATGTGCTCGCATTGTAAATTTCGTGTCCAATAAAACAAGTCATATATTTCAGGTCGAAACAAACGAGTTATCGATTTCATTGTTGGTGTAAAAGTGGTAATGAACGTGTGATAACTTTTCAGAAGGTATGTTCAGAGAATTACATTATTTCATTTACTTCTTTCAGAACTCGTACTATCCATTATATCTTTTTGCTTCTCGTGATATTTACGAAACGTCCGTTTCAGTAGAATTAATTTAGCACTGCGTCGATGTGCAATCTATAACAAGAAACGTACATTTTCATCACGTTGATTTCAAAACTATCTTGTTACCCTTGAAATATCAGCAACCTATCATAATCAAATGTCATTACTTGTGATGCAACATATCGGAAAAGTATCCCTTTGTCAATCGAGACAAAGGCATACTTTTTCCAAGCAAGGCGATTTAGTCACTTGTCACTTGTTTAGAATTCCAAGTTCTTTAAATTTGTTTTTATTAAGACTGTGTTTCAAAATTACTGTAGGTCTGTTCTTTTTAGCTGAACTGTCTGAACTGGTGCAGACTGGGGCAATAAGTTAGAGTGAAAAAAAATATATTTGTCTGGCTCTAACTTAGTGCATCAGTTCAGCCAATTCAACTAAAAAGAATAGATCTTGTGACAGCGCTGAAAATCTATAGCATACGTGACATAAACTGTAGATTTTCAGTGCTAGCAGTGAATATTGGAACACAGCCTAAGAAAGCAACGCATTAATGATACAATATGAACGAAAAAGCGAATCTAGTCGGTGTTTAATTCTATTGAAGAGAGAATCCGAGCGTCTTCTTCACGAGAAAAAAACAAACACAATAGACAATACGAGTTCCGAAAGAAATGTAATTGAAATAATTCAGTAAGTCTTTGCCTCCTTCACACCGATAGATTAATTTTGCATGCACTACGAAGAGAAAAGAGACACAAGCCATTTGTTGTATTAAATTAAGAATAAAAACGAGCGGCATTCAAAGACAGAACGTTCTTCATTAACGACAATACACTCTGGGATTAATTAGTTGTAGATCCGCTAAGAGGCTCGAAACGGTATCTCGTTCAAACACCGTCGTTTCTGCACATGTGTGTCGTGGCATCGGCGATAATGACGTGAAAGTGCATCCACAACGTCGCCCCAGAACAATTGTACTCTGCCCGGCTACAGACCGTGGGAGTAAATTGCTGTAAACTCTTTGGCCGCTCTAAAAGCTGATCCTGTCGCGAGATCGCGCGTGGTTGTCTCTTTAAATGTCTCGGCGGGACACCTGTTCGAGATTTGCCGTTACGACGTGCCGCCGTCGACGTATTGAACATTATAAATGTCACTCATACACGTCGCGCGATTACTGATAATTGTACAGCTCCGCAACTATGTCCGACAACGTGCGGAATTATACGCGCTGTGAAATTATAACAGGTAAATTCGAGGCCGACAGAGTCGCGCTTCCGCGAAAGAAATGTAAGGATAATTATAGTTGATGCAAGGATAATTGTAGTTGATTAAAAAATAACTAATAATTAATGTAGCAGGATCGTTGTGTTTTACACGTCTTGTTGGTGCAATTACACTACGAATTCCGACGTATTTGAACGCGAAACTATGAAGATACGTTTCTCGAGACCAAGAAATTGAATTGACACAGTTTGAACAAACATGTTCCATTAAAAGCCACTTTCGGCATGTCGCACCGATGCACTTATTACGTGCGGGGCGATCTACGTAACGGTTTACACGTGATTTCGATCTTTACGCACGGTTGCACAAAGAAACGTTGTGGCTAACGAGCTGGAGGGTCTTCTGTCGAAATATCCTCCTTTTGGAAGAGTATGACATGTGCTGGAGGTATATAATCGAGATATCTGCGCGCTGCTAGAAGAGTTTAAGGAAAAGGTAGATGAGAAGTTGAGCAAAATAGAATCGAATCGAACAATAGATAGAGGTAAGAGAGCCGGCGGAAATGAAGGTAGACGCAAGAAGAAGATGACGAGTACGGTCGACAGACGTGATCGGAGTTGCGGTCAGAAGAAATAAATCAGCCGGAAAAGATTATCTAAAGACAAGCAAAGAGTCGGAAGCTACAAGATAGCGGCATGAGCACGGGAGCAGGAAGAGGTGGACGAATACACGGGAAGAGACAGGGAGAGAATCGGGGTAGATGAGGGACAGGCGTCCTTGCTCCGGACTAGCCTGTAACTGTGCTCTCGCGCTCACGGGCGCCGTGGAGAACCGGTAATGACGTGAAAGTGCATCCACGAGCGAGAAGGCAGGCGGGCAGGCAGGCAAGTAAGCAAACAGGCAGGCAAGCAGGCAGGAGAGGCAGGCCACCGTTCTCCTAGCAGTCTCGCCTCGTCCAGGACAATCCCCTGGATCGCGGTTGGCCCCGTAGCTGGAGAAATTGTCTGCCTCTCGACGATCAAAGTACTCGGCTGACCGAGGTGGCGAACGTCTCGTTCGCCGCGCGATCGCTCAGTCGCCTCCTTTCCTCGAGTGCGTTTTCGCCGCAGCTGCGACCCAGCCGCGCTGCTCGCTCGCTCGCTCGTTCGCACCTGCGATAGTTTCTACACCGGCGACACGTGTGACTCGGGACGGTGCTCGCTTTCCTCCGACGAGGACACGGAGACTCGGAAGTGCGGGATTTTGTGAGAAATCAGCGAGATCAGTGTCCGACCGAGTTTATCGTCGATCAGAGTGATTGTTGTAGTCTTCCGTTGGATGATTCAGGTACGGGCAAAGGGATGGAACTACCCCCGTTGTCGTTTTCCCGCGAATTCCGAGTGCTCACGGTATGACAGCAAATATCAGGAATGCTGCTGTGGAAAAAAAGTTTGATCGGATGAATCAGTTTCTGCGGAAACACAAACGATTCAGAAATTCCAACTAACAATTGTCAAAATTCTGTTTAAGTGTGTTCAGCAGAAATCTTGAGAATATTTATATTAAATTCTGATAACTTAAACCGGAATTCCTGAATCGCTTATACTTTATAAGAAATTGAGATTTATCCAAACACTTTTTTTTCCATGTGCAATGTGTAATTCATGCGACACACATATTGAAAACTATTTTATATATGTTTCATATTGAATTCAAATAAAATCTGCAGCTGAAATGGATATTAGTTTTATAATCATATCAGGACATTATCTGATATATATATATCAGTCTTATGTATAGATTTGTAAAATGAGAAAGTACATACATAACAACGTGAAATGTAACGGTATCAACTTTCACTGCGCACCTGTCTAATTATTCTTAAAAAACAACATTGAAGAACTGAGACGTTTGGAATATTTAAAACAACAGATAAGGCTAGAAGATTGATATTCCTTAAAAGAAAGGATCGTTCACAGATTCCATAAAACAGACATGATTTAGAGGTCTCTAAACTATCGCATTATATCTGCTCGTTACGATCGGAATGTTTTATACATGAGAATGCATCGGCGTCTTCGCGTAGGACTTGCGTGATTCTCATCTTCTTTTATGGTTATTCAATCCATATATCGAACCATAATTTCTATTCTGAGGTCAATGTGATTTAAGATGTGTTTTAAAATTGAAATGAAACCAGTTATAACACGAGAACAATGTAAATGAAGAGAAGCAATTTACTTATTTTTTCCAAGTCTTACACAGTGAAGAAGATTATATAAAGATATTTTGCAATCCTAAACATGTAACGTAATTATGTCATATGCAGTTTCCAAAATTTTACATAAACGTTTATGTCATACTCTCCGCTAACCGTGAAGAATCGCATTAAATTGTTCGATATCTTCCTGTGTGCAAATCGCGACATTTAAACATATTAATCACACGACATGTGCCGCACATATATAGCTTACATTAAAAATATTATCAACAATCTATTCTGTAATAGTTCATTATTTTATAAAATAATGATAAGTTTTATTAATAAAATTTGCTTACATACGCGTCAGAATAAGAGTCTGTGTTTCGAAAGAATTACTGAACCACAATCGCAATGTCCGAACTAATGAACAGATTAGTCAATAAAGTTCTTCAATCCGCTGATCCAAGAAACAAAGCGAAGTACCGGAAGTTTCAAAGATGGCAAAACGATTGTATTGTTTATGTGTTTCCTCCACGATACACGCGCGTTCGACATACTTCTCTATGAAAAAGTCCATAAACTACAGCCACTTCCCAGAGAAAAATTGCAGCAGCCACTCTTTAAGTATGCCTTTTTTACAGGGGCGATCAAGTCGCTAATATCTCCGTTTGGAAACGAGAAGCCGGAATCATTAAGAGGCGCGAGGGAAATGCGCTTTGACGATCCCTAATTGCGCTAAAACTCGGAAACAGACCGGAACAACCGGGAACACAGTGGAAGATCGTCGACTTCGAGTGATCATTTGAGATCACCGACGATCGTCGCTCGAGGCAGCGAGTTCACGATGATCCTCGCAGCCAGCCACGTCCTGGAGGAGCGCTAACGAAGAGCGTGAGGAATCGCAGGCAGAAAAATGACCGTCGCGATGGAGCACAAGCGGAAGAGCTCGTGGGATTCGAAGGTGAGATTCGTACATGTGGCGCACTTTCCCCGCGTCATACGTACTTTCTTCATTATGACGTCGCGTCATTAATTAGGGAGCGTGCCCTGGCGCGAGAAAACGTCGCGTGCGAGAAAAAGTGACAAGTCGAACAGGAATGCAAAACGTCGGACCGCGCATTGCTGATCTCAACAAGATTAGACACGAGTTTCAGACAGCACGCAAAAGATTCTATGAATATTCTTATGAAATACATATGTTTTTAATTCCAGAATATTCAAATCGAATGTTCTGAGAATATACGTATAATATTATATGAGCGGAGACTCGTATATTTACGATAGAAAAAAATGTACTCAGAATATTCGCAAGGTTTATTTTGCATGTGGAATACATTCATGTAACTGTACAATTTTCCTAATGTTCCAAATAGCAATATGCACTTTTACAGCTTAGCAATGATACGTATCTACGAAATAAAATATTTAAATTATTCCTTTATTGTAACTGTAAAAGCGAGATCGATGTGATTAACCTACATTTTGTAAATATTCGATGCACACTCGCAGAACATTTGTAGTTGCGTCATTCGAACGTAAAACAGTGCTTTTAATACATTCATAGGATATACAAATATTCATAAACAGTATTCATAAAACATTCATGGAATATTCCTGTGCTATCTGAGAGTGATGAGACGCTGCGTGCACTCGGAACACTTTCTAGTCTCTTCGGGATCGATTCCTCTGGGGCTGGCGAGATGCCTTGCAACATTCTAACATCTCCAGATGCGCTGAGATAAAGGTGAACGCGTGCGAACAACAATTCAAACGTGCACTTTCGAACGCATTGCATGTAAACCTCGTGCACTTTCTTCGTTTGTTTTTCGCACTTGGCCTAAGCCTTATCGATTAGAAAACGCTGCACGAGCAGAAACCACGAAACGACGCACTGTTGCGTCTGCATCTTCGTACCGACCATAGCGTTGTGTTTTCGTCCCGTTCGTTGGCGTTTCATAGACTTTCCACACAATTACTCGAAGAATAAGGTATGTAATGATAGTTATTACTTGTCTCGCGTGAGATTTACTCAGATTAAAAATTGAAGTTAGATCTGAGTTTTCCAGCTGAAACGCGTGATATACGTGGTATTGTATTTGCAAAAGCTACTCTACTGAAAAAACTTACATCTGGCTCTAAACTTAAATATGAGTATCTCGCTTGAAGCGCAGTTTCAAAAGAAACGACTATTAATACGAGTTTAATACGAGTTATAGTCGTCACATGGGGTCCTTAAGAGAATATTATATCCAAAGTAGACTTTTCTTATATTTTATAAGAATCCAAAAACCTAATTAAACAAAGAAAATATTTAAATTCTCAACATAAAAGATATAAAATAATTTTTTATATTGGAGTCTCTTAAAATCCCATGCGTCGACTCATGTTCGAAAAGTAGCGCGACGACTGTAGGGTTAAGGTCTCTACATTAATAGTCGTTACTTGAAACTTTTCTCAAATGAGATACTCGGACTTGAGTTTCCAGTTAGATGAGAGTTCTCAGTTGAACCACGATTACAGATATAGCTAGATGATATAATTCAACTGAAAAACTAATTCTAAATGAAGATCTGAGTATCTCACATGAAACAAGTTCAAAGTAACAACTATTAATACAGAGCTCATATTAATAATCATTACTTGAAACTTATCCCGCGTGAAATACTCAGATATGAATTTAAAATTACAGTTTTTTTTTATTTTTTACTGTTTTACAGTTTTTTACTTGAATCACATAATATATACGACGTTATATTTTCAATCGCGATTCACGTCTGAAAGATTCACATCTAACTCTAAGTTCAAATCTGAGTGTCTCACCTGAAGCAAGTTTCAAGCAACGATTATTAACATGGATATACAACACTCACTGTTTCAACTATCGTCTAGAAATGAATCGCGGGCGCTGCAGGATGCGGGAACAATCGCCAGATGAAAATAACGGCTCTCCCATGACTCTCGCCGCTTCCAGCCGCGGCATGTTCGATTCGATGTATCGTTCGTGGCGCGACACCAACGAGAAAGCGCGCAGTTCTGATTATTTAATTAACTCTCTCACGACAGAGCGCAGCGGCATTATAGTATTTTTCGCTCGCGTGCAAAATGAGCGAGGCTAATTTTGTTCCTGGAGATCACACCGCTGCGATCTACCGGTTGTAAGAAACCGGCGTCCTTTCGAATGAATCAACCGGCACCGCGCAATAACCACGGTGAAAGTCGCGTCGCGCGCGCTGATGCGCGCGCGCGTTGATGCTTCTCTTCGTCCTTCCATTAATTTCTCCGATTAATTCCTTTGTGACCTGTCGCGACGCAAAGAACATCGTGAGGCCAACAGGCTGCGTTGTCGAGGGAACCAACCTTGAACTCCTCAGGATCAATACTCCCGAAAACTCTGACGACTTCTCGATCCCGGATATTCCATCATCGGTGACAGGGATTATAGTATGCCACCACGTCATAGTAAATTGCATACACTAAGAAAATAAATATCTAAGAAAAAAATATTTATTTTGTGGGTGCTAAGAACGTATTTAAAATAAAAGTATCAATGTCTAGACACTAATAACACTAGTACCTAACTTTGAATATACTTATTGTTTTAATCTTTAAATATGAATATTTAAACTTTTAATTTAGAAAATATTGAATATGTACATACACACGTACATATATATATATATATATATATATATATATATATATATATATATATATATATTCTTTAAATATTTTTTTCTTTCAATGTATTTGAAAAATAAAACAATATCCAGAGTTAAATACCAATGTGATTAGTGTCCAAGCATATTGTGCTATTACTTTATTTATACTAATATAAAATATTTTTCAAACAAAAAAATATATAAATTTTCTTAAAACCTTAATTTGCGTGAAATTTATTGTTTATTCTATTTAAAGAAAAGAATTTAAATTTAAGCAAATAACCCAGGTAGCAAGGTGACGTCTAAAGACGTCATTAAAACGTCATAGACGTCTTAATGACGTCTTTAGACGTTATTTTGCTACCTGGGAAGTTATTAGGAACTACCGAATAAATATTTCTAATTTTTTGAATATTTTTTTTCTCAGTGTATAATTAATTACGTTCAAAAGTTTTAGTCATTAGAGAAAAAATTAGAAATCAAAAGAGAAAAGGTTTGCAAATTACATTTTTTATCATATATATATTTTATCATTGGAAAATACGGTATATGAAACAAGTACAGCAGTCAACATGTTAAACAGAAACATTGTTCTTATTCTCTGTAAACATGTCAAACGGAAACACTGCTTTTACTCTTTATAAAATCACACAGAGTTGAGAGTGTAGTATACGTTAACAAGTCGTAGATTGTTCAAGAACCAAAACGGGGGACCGTTCAACCTTGCCCTCCATCGTTGCTGTCCGATGAACGTTTGCGCGCGTTTCTTCCGCGACGTGACTTCGCAGAAGGAACCATCGGCGATGACGAATCGTTCTCCAAAAGCCGCTGTCACTCATGTGAAATTGTTCGCCTTCTGGAAGAAACGGTGGAATCTCAATGCCTTCTCGTGCGCTAAACGACCGCTAGTTTTCAATTGAAGCGACCATGTCTAATTCGCAAGATTCGCTTCGTTGCTAATTGCAGGACAATAGAGCGTTCACGCTTATACGTGGCTAATTGTGTCACGCTGCTCGGTCCACCTTCCTGTGACTGTGCCGTCTGGCACATATCCATCTGCTTTTCATCTCCAGACCGATTGACCTTGTTCTCCAATGACCCCAAGCCACATATACCGCCGGGTACCTACGCACGTGGCAGTGCTTTAACGAAGAACTAGGCTGACCGGAATGGAGAACGATGCGTTAGGTGGGTTGGGTCGCCTGGGTTGGGCCGTCGTCATTTGCTCTATTCCCGATACCGTTACTTCACGAACACCCGATCACACTTGGCATTCTTGAAAATAGCGCGCGCGACGCTTGTCGCTGTCTCGTCGATCAAACTGAGACGACAAGCAGCAGCGGTAATCGATCATCGCTCTCGAGGATTCAACATCGAGAAGTATCTCGTCGATGATCTCATATACGTGTCGCTCTTCCTCACTGAACTAATGCACGCCAGGCGTCAAAAGAGTCTTAATATTTATATGCCGTTATTTTTTCAATTTTATATATATAATACCGTACCAGCAGCTTTAATTATAAATAAATGATCATAATTATATATATATGTGTTAGATAGGAATCGTATCTTTTCTTTTTTATTTGATCTTTTCCTCGGAATATTGTTTTTCTGCAAAAATCTAATACTAATACGAATTTTCCTGTTTATATATATATATGTATATATATATATATATATATATATATATGTGTGTGTGTGTGTGTGTGTGTGTGTGTGTGTGTGTGTGTGTGTGTGTGTGTTTTAAACATTCTAATATTAAATTAACACATAAAAAAGCAATGAAAATTTTTGAAAATTATTTAAAAAATGATTTAAAATTACAGAAAACTATTTGATTAATTATTATAACATATAATTATTATAATATATAATTATTTAATTATTATAACAATAAACAAGATGTATTTTTTCTAAATCACATACACACAAACACACATACAGACACACGTTTAATTATATGACTAGAGTTATATAAAGAACGAGATAAAGATAAAGACTAGAGAATTCAAAAACTTGAAAGACACTGACTCATCGAAGTAAATAAGCAAAAAATTACCAACAAGAAATAATAGTTTGTGGATAAGATAACCACTATCGTTTTTTTTTATGACCGCTTTTTGCCGAAGGACACAGAGCTGCTCCAAGAGCTGAATATCACGTGGACGTGGTGTAAACGAGCGGATTGTAATTTAAGACGGTCAGAAACTCGTTCCTAGATTCTTACTCTTTTGGAAAGGTAGTCTGTCGTCGTTTGGTATAACGGTAATAACGGTCAAGAAAGCCACGAGAGAGAGAACAG